AAGGTACCTGCTTATAGGAATAGAAGCTACCTTGTCAAACCACCAAGGAAGGGTAACTCTAGACTTTGCAAGAACTGGCGTAGAATCATGCTCATATCCACTGCAAGCAAAATATTAAGTCGCGTCATCTGGGAGAGACTAAAAGATGCTCTGGATGCAGATATCTAGGAGCCCAGAACAGCCTGGATTCAATAAAAGCAAATCATGTACGGGGCAAATTGAAACACTACTCCTCATCACCAAACGAAGCATATAATGGCAATCAAACCCCACTCTACCTCAACTTCATCGACTTCGAAAAGGCCTTCCACAGCGTTGACCGAGAAGTAATTTGGAAACTGCTTCAACCTCATTCAACAGCTGGGTATACTAACAATATCAAGTGTCAGATGATCCACAACGAAAAACTCAGAGAGGCGTCCGAAGTGAATACAGGAGTAAGGCAAGGCTGGCTGGCTGCCTATTATCGCCCATAATATTCTTAATCTTAATTGCGGTGGACTGGATTATGCGGAAGACTATGGGTGACGAACGAGAAGATAGGAATACGTTAAACCCATAAGAATACTGCAGAAGATCTGAATTTCGTGAACGATGTATGTCTAATTTTACACAAACTCGAAGATCTACAGGCGTAGACGAACATGTTGGAAGAAACGAAAGCAAAGACAACACCTCCAGTGAACATAGTGAAGACAGACGTGATGAAAATACCTAACCAAAAACAGCAAGTAACAGTCACCATCAATGGGAGAAATTTGAAGAACATCACCTCTATCCACTAACCTTACATTACTTTCAATCAAACTGTTACACATTAACGACTTGTTAAAAACTTCTTGATTATTCGGTGGATAAACTAACAAAACATTATCTTGTTTTATATTTTTTAGCAGATTTATCATTCGCAGACTGCGCTGTTCGAAGTGAGAATTCATCACATAAATGACAATCAGGAAAGCCAGCAAAAGTGCTAGTGATTGTTATGAGTAGTAAGACACCACTTATGTCAATCAAGCAGTAGAGCTTGCCAGTCATATCGAAGTAAACTAAACACCAGACAGTCGTATCGCTCGTTTGGCACCGACTTCATCATCCGTGTACTCGGTTGTTTCAGTTCAGAGAGCTGAATCAGTCCAAACTCAAATAGCTTAGTTGTATTCAGGTGAGTTTTAACTGATTTAGGCTTGTTACCTGGGCCACTGTCGGTAGACGTCTGATGAGCTTGTCCTCAAAAGAGCGAAATGGTCATCTGATGTTTGGATCACTACTACTTGACGTCCACATCATGCAAGTAGTAAAAGTTATCATGTTATATTTTGTGTTCAACGTGTGATAATTACTTAGGAATTAAACTGCTTACAAGGGAAAATAATCAATGCTTACTGCAAACACTCACTAACTTGATCATTTTCATAAACTGTGGTTTAATTATAAACTGTATCAAAAAGTCCACTTTTTCCAGCTGAGAGTTTTACGCCTCCTGTCTAACAAATAAATGTCAATTCAGCAACTTAAAAACATGTTAACACCGATTGATGACAATTTTATTGTAGGTAATAATCAATGACTCATAAAGGTTGTTTCACACTGTTAACCCAGCCCATTTTTGATTAACTTTACGACAGAATATGAAAATGAAATCCGCTTTATGTTTACTTAAGCAGAAGTTATGGTGGAACTAAGAAAGTTTCCTTGGTCAACTTAACATCTGATTTGTAATAACTTTCACCATGTTAGTTATAAACGAAGGGTGATAAGACCAGATTTAGTAGGTTAGAAAATTATAATCAAACGAAAACATAAATAAGGAGTAATTTGATTTTAAGAATATGCTAAGGGTAAACAATACATTGAAACGTTTATCATGAAGTATGTCAACAGCATGTTTAAACTACTTTTCATTCATTCGGTATTAAAAGATAACAAAATTTCAGAATTGAAAGACAAACAAATCAACGTTTAGCTGAAAAAGAGCTTCCTTAGTGCCATTTTGATTCCATCAAGTGTTCATCTATATTTACAAGAATTATAAGAATCTAGAAACAAACACTCGGTTCTAAAAGAGTTGAAAAATATACTCAAGATCAAGAATTAAGAGCAGAGCAAGCGTGTACTAAAAATTCTATTTTTGAAGGAGGGTAGTTTTTCAGAATTGCCATCTCTAAGCATTCGATTTGACGAAGACACTAGATGAAGACATTTCAGACCTTCAGTACAAACAAGGTTTGTCTAATTAACTAGGGTGTAGCGAAACTCTTGTTTTAAACCATTTTCAAACTAACTGTTAACAGAGGAAATTTATTCTGATAAGTGAATTCAATCTTACATCAATCAGGATTATTTCCCCATCATCTATTTTTTAAAGTTTGATATTATTCAAATGCTCACGCAAGTATTACCAGTTTAGCAGCTCCTCTCCCACATATGTGACTTGTTCTCCTCACAACTGTGAAGATATCTCCTTCATCCAATACCAGTAGTAATATTCACTTTAATGACCACTGTAGTGTCGTTACACTCACTTGTGGACCTCAACCTCCGTTCCAATGTACATAATGGAAAACTGAGTGAATACATCGTGTTGACAAGCACCAAAGAAAAACAAGTAAGCCTCGTCAAGTCTGACACGCTATCAGTTAACTTCTCATGCACAAGACGAGGTTTTTGTGAAAAATAAAAAATAATGTCAATTGCGACTGACTGACAAAGTGATTAGCTTCACTTCCATCGTTTAAAACTATATCGAACACACCAGTAAGTATAGAATACAATTCTCTGTTGATGTGATCCATGATTTATTCTGATCACTGACTGACTCCAACAAAGCATAAAGACATTAGAAAGTTTCAAGGTGTGTAGTATGCTCGTTCGATATGTCTAATACGTTATTTATTCTTTACTGCTTTAACTGAATGGCTATTATGTGCTAATCTCAAAAGACTAAACGTGTGTTTGACTGGTTACATGATCTCATCATGAGTTGATATCGGTTAGAGAACCAGCTCGTGATGAAATCCTGTAACCAATCAAATCGGATCTCTGCAAACAACACTGAAAAAAAATTTTTTTATTCTTTAAGATTCCTGGTCACTGAAACCACTTGGAATCAACACAAAAGTATGAGAGACAAAACACAATGTCCAGTATTCAGCTACCAATGACATATAACAGAAAGTCATTAAAGACATAATTCTTTGTGTTTATACTGCTTTTTTGACAAGAATAATATGTAACCCAAGAGCGTTATTTCCCAAAAATATGCCTCTAATACTTGTTATTTAAATATAGCAGAGTAATTTATTGGTTTTTTCAGCCTATTTTGCTCCGAACATGAGTGAGCCCCAGTGTTTCAAGTAGCGGAGATAGTACGACAAGTGGCATTGGACTCTACTAAATAAGAATAATACGAACACCAACAACCCAATACTTGTGAATCGATTTATTTTATTAGCTTGTGTAGATCCTAAATACATTTTAAACTGAACTTACTGTTAATTTTAGTACCACTACATGGGCATAACATACACTGAGGAGACCTTCAAGTGACATAACACACTAGATTCGTCGAGTACACCTTAAATATGAAGCGACGGATCTAACAATCGAAGGTGATATGATGAAGATTATGTTATGAGGAAATGAAAGTTTTTGGAAATTCTCAAAGCCACTTATAAGTGAGTGCAGTAGAGACCTGCTGCTGAAGTTCTAGTTTCCACTCTGAATGCAAAGAATGCGTCAAACTAATAATACATCTATATGAGTTAACGACATATAGTATTTCGCCTACAGTTGTAAGTCTATTTAAGTGTTCCAAAATCACTTGAACCTACTTAGTAGGAAACCTCATAAATAACTACTGGTCAGATGTTCAAACTTTCGAAATCCATAAATAAAAAAAGGGAGGAATTATATCTGAATCTGAAAAGTACGGCATAATGTTCAGAACTTAAAGACTACCAGCACGACATTTACAATGATCGAGTTTTTATTACAGGTTCAGTCAGACCCTTTGTATATAATGTCAGGCAAATTACACTCAGTAAACGATACGCATCATTACAATATGTACCAATACAATCATGACCTACTTTATTATAATGTAAGTGCGAATGGAATCATTTAAACTGTTTATAAAACACTTGTAATCGAGTATGAAGACTCGTAGAACACCAAAACGTTATCACTGACGTCCTCAGACGGGAATCTTCTCGACTGATTCAACGAAGTAGATATTTACATTATCTGACTGAATTAATTCATGTAGACAGAAATTATGTTGTTTTGTATTACATCAATAAATGTTTTCCTTTGTTGAGAACATGTTCGGTTTGCCTCGAATTCATTGGACTTCCGTTAGATCAGTAACCTCCAAGCTTATATTGAAAATAAATTTTGCTAGTAATATAGTCAGCTTTAAATTAGCAGATTGATGTAAATATGGGGTGATGGGTGATTTCTTAAGAAAAAATAACTCCCTGGGTCATAATGTCATTTGAAACAGTCACCTTTAAACAGCGTGGTCATTTCTGTAGTCTTTAGTACACAATAAAAGATGTCGAATTCTACAGTACAGAACTACTAATCAACTTTAATACTTTGACTTGATATATTCGCACGTGAACGGCATGTCAGTCAAGATATAATCCAGAATGTGTGAAATCACTGCGTTCATATACAAAACAACTTGCAAGAAAATAACTGTCAACAGGGATTATTCAAAATAATAAAAGTTTTTGAAAATTTACTGGTGTCTGCATATTATTTCAAAACAAAATCCGCAACGAATAATCAGAAGACAAATTCTGCCTTGAATATAAATAAGCAAATGAATTCAGTATAAAACAAAACAGCAGAACGAAATTGTGCACCAGAAGGTGAGACAAAACAAGCAGTCATAATAATAATAATAATATTATTATTATTATTATTAATGTTAGCTAATAAACAGAACATTGCCTGTAAAACAAAGGTGACAAAGAAAATATTTTTCAACTTACTTGATAAATAATCTAACAGAGAAGTGGTCTGCATAAATTTATTCATACTCATGTGATTGCTGTCGTCAGTTGTACTGTTAAAATTTGACATTAAACGAGAATTTCGCAACTTCTTTAATTTTTGCTTATCAGGTAAATCAGAACTGGTTGTATTCCCATTCATCGGTATATTATGTGGAACTGAATAAAATGAGGAATTGTTATTATTATTATTATTGGTTATATTGAAATTGGGATCATTATTCTTCATAATACACCTAGGATGAGATGTTCTAGTCGGTGTAGTAATAATGTCAGTTGACTCGAATTTCTTGACAGTGTCAGCTGAAGAGTAGTTGCACTATTGCTAACGGGATTCGTAATACCCACTGTAGATAAAGTGTTTGCCCGTGTCAAGGTATTATCAGTTATTAGTTTACAGTCCGTTGAACTGACTGGCACATTATTTTCACTTTGTACTGTTTTAGCAGATAACTTTGGCATATTGTGACAAGTGGTAACCTTTACAAAGAGACAGAGAAAGGGAGAGAAGAGAAAAAGATTGAAGTAAAGAAAGTGTAAACACTAAATTTAATTTGCTTACTACTACTACTACTACAAAAACATGTAAATGAACATGCATATCACGATAAAAGGTATCACTTGTAAATAAACGATGGTAAAATGATAAAATGACAATAGAGTGAAAATGAATATGTGAACGCCCAAAACACCATTATTAAAAACACAATAAATAAATGTTGGACTATTTTTTTTTATGAAGTACACGCGGGTGTGGTCAACTTCCTTCTAAAAGGAAAACAGTCATACATACGCTCTCTCAGTCACACACACACACATAGACGCACACTGAAGTAAGTTGCACACTACTTCCATAAATTATAAGGTTTTCTGACATTAATTGATGTATATAGTCATACTTCTTTCTGTTAACTGGTAATAGCGAATTTCGATAGCCACAGATAGGTATCCTCCTGAGTGTGTAGTCTACACTTAACGCAAAAAAGAAAAATAATTAACTTATGTAAAGGAAAAAAAAACAGTTTTGCCAACCACTGATGGAAAAATTATTTTCACCAGTAATTTTATGATTCTTAAAAATATTATTTTTATGCCTTAGTACAATCATATCAGATATGGGAATAAGGTGAGATTGATTTGAATTTTATTGGCATATATATATATATATACACTAAAAACTAACATTTCCTTTGCTCAGTTAACTAACATCTATTGTAATGTGTGGCCTAGGGATGAGAATTGTGTAACAAAGCTATGAAGTTTAAATAATTCAGTTAAGGAAAAAAAATATCCCCAAACTATTTATTAAAACAAAAAAAAATTTTAGAAACCAGACACTGTATACTAGACAACAGAAACTGGCCTTCACTCAACCACAACGTCATTTACTGGATTACTGTTCACAATGGAATGATCGCAAATTAACCAGAAAAAATAAATAGGTAAATAAAATGCATACCAATATACATTGAGCTTGAATATTACTTTTCAAAAAATGTGAAAATTAGGCTGAAATGTTTCTTGATGGAGAACCACACAGTTGACTTGAAATTTAAAGCTTGAAAAATTAATAGACTTTAGGATTAATAGTTCACCTTGACAGTATGAACTGTCACAGCTGGCTGGATTCAACATAGAACTTGGCACCGAAGTGCAGCAGTTCGAGTTGCCACGTTCCAAATAGCACGCAGAAGTAGACAAGAAAATGAGTGAAGAGAATCAATAGAGTTTTGACAAGTATAAGAGTGAAACAGAATGAGTAATGGTAGAAAGGGATATGAAAGATTACAGAGACTGAATACATCTGCGTAAGCCATTGACAACGATTTTGAGCCATGTCACCTATTGTCTCCAGCCATTGATTCTTAGAGTCCCGAGGATAGAAGAAGCAACACGGATATTCATCAAGATGAAATCAGCGTAGAAATCTACTGCGCTGAGAATGAAGAACAACATCGGGATCTTCAAAACTATTGTCAAGTCAGTCAGTGCATCTATATAATTCAGAGAATTCATACCAAAAGAATTTCCAACAGCCTGCTGTAGACTGTCATCAACATATGGCTGACCAGAAAGGATAATCAACAACGAACTATAGCAACGAACCAAACAAGAACCTATTACCCGGAAAACTTGAAGCAGAAAATGTAGGTGGAATGAACATACACTGAGTGATATCACGCGCCAGGCACTAATGGGAAACGAGGGTCAGAGGGTGACATAGAGAAGATCGTGTGAAGAACAAGAAGAAGAAGAAGTGAAACCTTATGGACAATGGCGGAGCCAGGTAGAAAAGACTACACAGAGAACAGGATAAAATGGAGATGTGCTGGTGAAGTACTATCTTTCACTCAGAAACCGAGGGAATAACAATAATGAATAAGGTAGAGAAAACTTATTGAAAGAGAGTTCAAAGAATGGGACACACTTTGGATACAGAAGAGACAGAATAATTCCTCCTTCAACTTAACACTTATAGCTGCCTTTTACGTGGACTTATACTTTCCTTTTTAAAACATTTGAATATAATATGTTAAACATCTCTCTCTCTTTCATACAATGAATCAATTCATATAAGTAGTTTTTAATGAGTACACCTTATAAAGTTGCGCTATCCTTTACTAATGACATCAGCTTTAAGTCTACTAGTGATTGGACTGGATTTGATCTAATAACATATTCAAATTAACTTCAGACGAACATATATATGGTTGTGATTAGTGATTGCTAGTCACCAATTTAATACATCTTAATTGGTCTGTGTAAATATGTCGTAATATTTTATCAACGAAAATTAGGAATGGCGTTTTCTTAAGAGTTAAAGGCTTAAACAACTGAAGCAGAACAGGTAGGCAGCAGGTAAAAGAGACCTCAGAACATTATATCAAATAATCAGGTCTCTATCCAGGAAGAGATCAGTGTAGGTGAAACCGAAAAAAAAGATGTTCAAGGGAACCTGATTGCCAAGTAAGAGAAACAAACAAAACAATAGGCTGATCACTTCAAAGGACTCTTGAACCGACCATCACCTGCAACTTACACAGAAATACCGCCACCACCAAGGGCATGCACAGAACTGTCTGTCAGTGGACACCAATCTTCCAACGAAACCAGAAGTCTTGAAGACTGTCAATCTATTTAAGGCGGAGAAGGAAGCACTCAGAACAGGTCCGGAGAGTGTGGCAGGTGTGCTCACGCAACTATTGTAAAAGGTTTGGAAGAAATGAAAGTTGCCTACTGACTGGAATGAAGAATACCCTGTTAAACTACCAAAGAAGGGTAACTTAAGCCTCTGCGAGAACTGGCGTGGAATAATGCTCTTGTCCACGCCAAGTAGAATACTAAGTCACGCCATTTGGGAGAGAATAAAACATTTACTGGGTATAGAACTCCACCAACCGGGACAAGATGGATTCAGGAAAGGCAAATCATGCGCTGATCAAATTGCAATTCTGCGCATCATCATCGAACAAAGCATAGAAGTGATTTGAAAACTGATTCAACACTACGGCGCGCAGTGCCCAAGTCTTTATCAATCTCAATCAACAGCTGACTGTATTGACAATGTCACGTGTCAGGTGATCAACAACGGAAAACTCAGAGAGGCGTTCGAAGTGAATGCAGGAGTAAGACAAGGCTGGGGCTGGCTGGCTGCCTATTATCGCCGATGATATTCTCAATCTTAATTGTGGTGGACTGGACTATGCGGGAGACTGTGCGTTGTGAGTGAGAAGACGGGAAGGCGTTGGACCGATCAGAAGACTCCAGAAGATCTAAATTTTGTAGACAATGTATGTCTAATGTCACACAAACTCAGAGACTTACAGGCGAAAACCAACAAACTGGCTGGAGAAGCTGTCAGCGAAGACAGGACTCCAGGTGAACATAGAGAAGACGGAGGTGATGGGGACAATCAACCAACCAACTAACCAACAGCAACGACAACCAGCACCAATCACCATCAACGGGAGAGATTTGACAGAGGTCACTTATCCGGCTAGGAAGCATCGTTTCAATCACGAGCAGTCAGAACAGATGAGGATATCAAGGCAAGCCAGCCAGCCAGAATCGGAAAGGCAAGATACGCACGTCTTCATCAGCCTGAAGCCAGTTTGGAAATCTTGTGCACTGCACTCAGCCAGCATGAAGAACCAGATTCGGATTTTCAACACAAATGTGAAGTCAGTCAGTCAGTCCTTCTATACGGGTCAGAAACTTGGTCCATGTATCATGAAAAGGATTTCTGACATCCAGGTACAGACTTTTGTCAACAGTTGCCTTCGCCGGCTCCATACAGAAGATCAAATAGCCAGCCTGTCAGCCAGAAAGAACTAGCGACAAGAAACACTGGATGGGAACAAATCAACAGACGACAGTCGATTACTCAACAAATATGTAGGAGAAAATGGAGATGGATGGGGCATACATTGAGGAGGCCATCGAATGACATCACGCGCAATGCAGACCATCACTCAAGTGGAATCCGAATGGGAAGCGATGAGTTGACATTGAGGAGATCGTGTGTGTTGGAGGAGGAGATGAGAGATTACGGTTAATCGTGGACCCAGATAAAGAGGACAGCAGAAAACAGAAGAAAGTGGAGATGTGCTCCGGCTGAAGCCCTATGTTCCACTCGGAACCCAAGGGAATAATAATATAATTATTTTAAAATTTTGGATGTATTTACAAAGTACTTTTCATTAAACTAAATAGACAGAAGTTACTATGGTTTAAATACTGATTAAACTGGATACATTTTTAATGGTTACTCTTAACAATTGCAGCATCATCTTGTTAACTAAGAAATAGGTTGAAAAAAGTCAAAAGGATGCCTAAGCTTCATTATCATTTCATAATTCATATTTAAATCAAAAACACATCTGACGAGTAGTTCACATTCTTAAGAAAAACAAATCTCTTGATAATTACATAGTTGGTTTCACGTTTTTTAATTCAAATAATCACAGCCAATCAACTCTACCTAGATAGATTTTCCTGACACTTTGGCGTCAATAAATCTTCCAGTAATAATTTGCATCTATTTGACTGGTTTCAAGTTAGATGACGAACTAAATTCGACTAGTGAATCAGGGAAAACAAAGAAGTTCCGGGCAGCTGTTTCGTCCTAGCTTGGGATTCTTTAGCATTCTGCACCAATATCCCCACCTGAGAGTGAATCCAGGACCTTAAGGTTGCTGGGTAACTAAATCAACACTCTAAAATTGATAGAGTACTCACTACAAACTGAATACAGGTTGAAGTTGCCTGGAATTGCAGCGAGAAGTCGTGACCAGTGCGGTCCACTAAGTTAGGTGTGAAAACAAATACTCCCCAATGACACTATTTAGTGATTGCACTACATATATGACAAATCAGTAGAATTCAGAATTCAAAGGCTGAAATGGAGACGCGTCGCCCTCGGGATCCGAAGGTCCTGAGTTCGATCGCCAATGGAGTCATAGTTGCATACTGATGAAGAG